TATGTTATTTATTTATTGATAACTAAAAAAAGCTTGAATTATTTTATATATTATGATTTTAATTTCAAAACAAATTTAAATAGTTAATAAATTGATTTACTTTATTTGAAAAGCGACAATAAAATTGGTGATAAAGGAGCATAAAATATTGGATTAGGTTTGAGTAACTGCACTCAACTTACAAATTTAAAATTTGACATAAGGTTAATTTATTTCGTTTATAACTTTTAATAAAATTATGTCAAAGCATTTTATTCAAACTCAATTAAAAAAACTTTTAATTTATAAAATGTCTTAAATTTTAATTAAACGTGATTGCATTTATAAAAGTTCAAATTAAATTGGGGATGATGGAGCTTCTACTATTTGTACAGCACTTGATAACTGCAAATTCCTAACTAGTCTTGAGCTTATAATTGAGTAAAATTATATTATATTTATTTATTGATAACTAAAAATAGCTTGAATTATTTGATTTAAATTTCAAAACAAATTTAAATAGATAATAAATTGATTTATTTTATTTGAAAAGCGGCAATAAAATAGGTTATAAAGGAGCATAAAATATTGGGTTAGGTTTGAGTAACTACACTCAACTAACAAATTTAGTTTTTAGATCAGAGTAAATTTGATTTATTATTTTTGAAAAAAAAATGATGTTAAAGCTTTTAAGATGTTATTTAAAATATCTTTATTTTATAAGTAATAATGAGAAGTTTCTAGAATCCAGAGAAATTATCAACTGTAAAAATATAAAGTTATTGAAATTAAATATCAAGTAATTACTTTTTATTGTTTAAAATAAGTTAATTTTAAATAAAATTTTTTATTTATTTGAAAAATAAATTTAAATTAATTAAAAGTAAATTGTCTGAATAAAGAAAAAGAGAAATCAAAAGATTAGCTTAAAAAATAAAAAGATTAGTAAAATTAAATATAGATTGAATTTACTAAAATTAATAATTAAATATTTATTTATTTACTAACAGTACATAAAAAAAATTGAAATTAAAAATTGTAAAATCAATATAATAAAGTTTCAAATTATTTGTATTTTTCGAAATTAATTATTTCATCT